TGCATGTTTTATTTAAGTAAAATATATTACATGATGAAAAATAAGTTATCTGAGGGAGTGATGGTAGCCGATGTAGGGATTTCTCTTTTCCTCCAACTTTACCCGTACACGGGTCTCGGGGGGGCGTAGCCACGCGATTCACGAGATTCGAACGACTCGAATGATTCGAACGATTCGAAGGAGTCAGGATAACGAGCCTCTCCTTCGTACGAGATTTCGGGCACGTAACCGGAGTCTCCTTGCACGTTAAACCTGACGGTCTGCAGGCGGCCGTCGGGAAGCTGCACGAAGTACGATCCTTGGGTGTCGTCGCCGTCGCGGGCCTCCTGGTGGCCGAAGTTGTTGCCGGAGTCGCTGTGCTGGACCGCCCAGTCGAAGTTATAGTGGGCGGGGCCGAATTCCTCAGAGGAAAACTGAAAAATAAAGTATCACTCTTTACATTTTCTTTCTCTTGCCGGCTCAAAATAAGGAAATTATCATTAAAGAATTGATATACCAACAGCGAAAAAATCTAAGCTGGTGACAAACAAGCGTCGACAATTTCGAGAAAAATACAGTAAAACTGAAATTTATCAATCATAACCTCTAGTTGCATTTAACTTACATCGGGGGCGGAGTAGGAGTAAGGTCGCCTGTCAGCGGCGGCGACAGCCACGAGTGTCACGAGAAGAAGGACCTGAGGAGGAAGTGGTCAAATGTTAACGCACAAGAGTAACGCTTTATATATTTCAAAGACTTTGTCCACAAAATTAACGGTGAATGCATTAAGTTTTTTCTTCTTTTTTTAGTAGCTGCAAAAATATCAGTGGACAGCATGGCCAAACTATAAACGTTGAGGCAAATATTACTTTTGAGTTCATATTGGTGTGTGGAAGCTGTACAACTTGTGCCAGATATTCGCTGCATGACTGCATTTATACTCGTGTGCAGTGACGTCACAACGGACCTTTTTGCATGTTGCAGAACTTGCCATGTGAATGGAAAGTTTATTACCTTAACGGGATATTGTTGCTGCTGTTATTGTTAACATATAATTTTCTCTTGTTTTTATAATCATTGAGACTAATACCATCCTTACTGTTATTATCCGTATTATCTGTTAATCAATATATTTAACTTTATTGTTATCCTTATTCTTAACAATATCAATATTATCATCATTGTGATTATTATTATCAGTATCTAGATCATTATTGCTATTTTTAATGTTGCCATTTTCTTCATCAATCTTTATTTTCATTATCATGTTCATTATTGTCATAATTACTATTCTTATAACCAATATTGTTTTGTCGTTAAAGCTATCGTGATATTGTAATGATTATTCTGATTAATGAAAGTACCATTATAGTTATATCATAATTATAATATATATACCTCAACACCGTCATCATCATTCTTATTATTATTATCATTGTTATTATTATAATTATCATTGCTGTGTTGAGACGTTATTATCATTTGCATGACTCTTATTACGATTAGTATTACCATTACTATTACTATCACATTATTGACGTTCTGGCTCTAATCCACAGCCCTAAAACTATCCTTGTTATTGTTGTTTTTTATGATAGTCATTTCCCTTATGTTGATAACTAAAACTATCGGGAAAATACTATGACTGCTGTATATCATTTTCGTTATCACTATTATTTTTTTTTTTGTTACTATTGTTCTATTTCTATTATCACCATCATCATTATAATCAACATTGTTATTGTTATTATCATCGTTATCATTATTATCATTATTATCATTATCATGGTTATCATCATTACTATCATTTTCATAATTATTATTATCATAATTATTACTATTATTTTCATTATTATTATTATTATCATTGATATCGTTATTATTACATCTATTATCATTATTGGTATAGGTTTTTTTACAACTATTGTCATCATTATCATCATTAATATCATCATTGTCATTGTTATAGTCATGGTTATCATTATCATCATCGTTGTTATTATTATCAAAATTTCTGTTACTATCATTATGATCATCATGATTAATATTATTTTTTTATTAGTGTTACTATTATTAACATGTCATAGTATTTTTTTGTTTATTACTAATAACAGAATACTATTTTAAGTTTGCATTATTTATATCATTATTATCATTATTGTTATTGTGGTCTTCATTATCATTGCTTTTATTATCATCAGTATCATCATAATCATGGATGCTATCACAATAATGATTATTATTATTGCTGTTGATTTTATTATTACTGTTATTATTATTCGAATTGTTAGCACTATTGCCATTAAAATCATGATTGTTTTCTTTTTTTTTATCTTTATTGTTGTTTACATTATTATCCTTATTATTGTTATTACTATTTTCATTAATACTAATATTATCTTCTTATCATTACCATTATCACTTCCATTATCATTACCATTGTTATTATTATTATTATCATTATTTTCATTATTATTAGTATTACTATTATTATCATTATCATTATCATCACCATTATTAGTATTAGCAATATCAGTATTATCAGTACTACTATTTCTATTATTACTACAATGGGCACCATCATTTTTAATTAATATTAAATACATTATTATTACATTATCATTAGAAGTAATAATACTTTATTAATGACGTTGTTTTGTTGATGCTTTTATTATCATTTTGTTATCATTTGCTTATTTTTTTTATTATTACTATTATTGTTGTTGTTGCTATTGTTACTATCAACATTATTATGCAAAAGGTTATTATTGTCATCTATATTATTTACTAATATAGTTATTATCACTTTCATTATCATTTGACATTATCTTTATTATTATTATCACCATCAGTATCATTATCATTGTTTCTATTGCTACTTCATTTTATCCTTATCTGCATCATAAAATATATTATCATTATCATTATTAACATTATCATTCATAGTAGTATTGGCGCTATTAACGCTACCATCATAATGGTCATGTATGTAAAGGTAGCAATATTAATATCATTGTCATTACTATAAATATAAATCTTATTGGTGTCATTGTTAGTGATGTTTTTATTACTGTATTTTCTGTTTTTGTTCTGTTCAAGAGTAACATGATTATTAACACGTGTAATAGTCACTATCATTACTGTCTTCATTTCATGTATGGCAAGTGATTTTTCATTACTTTCAACTTTTCCTTTTCACGAACATTTCTGAATTTGCTTTTCTTGAGATGCCCGGCTCAAATTTCTGGATTGATTTTTGACATCGGTGCACAGACATAATCAAGTTAGTATTATTACTATTAGTCTCATGACGCCCTTATCTCATCCAATTATTCGCAATACTCTTCATATATTATATTATATATTGCCTCTATCGGTTAAGCACGTTCGCGATTTAAGATAGGTAAGTCTGCTCGGAAATGTCTTCATATATATACATTATACATTTACACCCAGGTAACTATGCCTTTACGTATTATATTCATATATTCTCTGAAGATTTTCATTTATTTTTTCATGAGGAATTATATCCTTTAGTAAAGTACATCAGTATGATTCGCATGATTTATTAGTAGAAAATATACTTCATATAATAATGTAATATAAGTTAGAGTAGCGGTAGCCGAAGTAGCAGTTGGGTCTTTTTTCTATATCATCAACCATACACGGGTCTTGGAGGGGCGTAGCCACGAGATTCACGAGACTCGAATGACTCGAATGATTCGAACGATTCGAAGGAGTCAGGATAACGAGCCTCTCCTTCGTACGAGATTTCGGGCACGTAACCGGAGTCTCCTTGCACGTTAAACCTGATAGTCTGCAAGCGGCCGTCGGGAAGCTGCACGAAGTACGATCCTTGGGTGTCATCGCCGTCGCGGGCCTCCTGGTGGCCGAAGTTGTTGCCGGAGTCGCTGTGCTGGACCGCCCAGTCGAAGTTGTAGTGGGCGGGGCCGAATTCCTCAGAGGAAAACTGAAATATCCTTACAGTTAATATTTACGGGCTTATTACAAATGAAATGGTTGTCAGTAGTGAAAGAATCGAAGTTGGTGATCCAAACACGCCATAATAAAACGCATAAATCATAACTTCTAGATGTGTTAACTCACCTCGGGTGCGGAGTAGGAGTAAGGTCGCCTGTCAGCGGCGACGACAGCCACAAGAGTCATAAGAAGGACCTGAGGAGGAAGTGGCCACATGTTAGTGTGCACTAGAGAAAGAAAAGCATATTCTTAAGTATATCATGTTTCACAATGAACGTTATTAGAATCATATAACTATTATTATATCAAGCTGTTGTAGTTGTTAATGTTCTAACTGCAGTAACGAAAACTTTATAAAGGTGGCCGTTACCTTTGAGTTCATGTTTGTGTGGATGCTGAACAACTTGTGTCAGATATCCACCGCATGGCTGTACATATACCCGAGTGTAGTGACGTCATGCATCCGCTTCTTGCATCTTGCAGAACTTGTCATGTGCATGGAAAGTATATTGCTTCACTGGAAAGATTGTTGATTTACATTTGACTATTATTCTTGTTATTGATATTCTTGCAGTTACATCTGTGGTCCGCAGTTATAATTGCACCGTCAAATTATTGCACGTTGAAAAGGGTGTACTTATCTTCCATGTGAATCTTTTGACTATGGTTATGATAAATATGAAATTTATTATGTTCTATTGTAAATAATTCTATAAAATAGGTTTTGTTTACATTCGTTTTCTTTCGACTGTAATGCGCATATGCGGCGTTATCCTCCTACCTGTCACTTATAAACAAGGTGGTCATCCACTTTGCCGCTGTCCGTGTGTTTTCCATGTGTTATTTATTTTCATTGAGTAGATATACTAGTGCTAGTCATAAATGTTTTCAGTGTGTAGATAATATAATATTACTAGTCATAAATATATGTATTGTTTGCAGACATTTTATAGTGCATGTGACAGCTAAAGGTCAGCATTATTATTATATTATTAATCGATCACTATTATCTTTATAAATATTACTATCATTTATCTTTTAGTATCGTAGTTTTCACTGGTACAAATACTACTGTTATTCTTACTATTATCATTGACATCATTATTATTGCTAATATCCTTATTCTTATTATTGTTGTTACTGCTGTCGCTATACCATAATAATATATATAATCATCATTATCTTTATTTCCCTTATTATGATAATGATAATAGTAACAACAATAGTGATAATGCTAATTATATTCTTTATATATATAATTATCATTGGTTTTATTATTTGTATTATCATTACCATTAACATAATTATTATTGTTCTTGGTGGTGTTACAATAATCATTATAACAATTTTAATAATAATGAGTGTGATCATAGTGTCATGTACTAATAATAATAGTAATAAGAATAATACGAATAGTAAATGTCATAATAATGATGATAGTAATGATTAGTTACATATGCACGTATGTGTATTATCATTATAACTTTTATACACATGCATATACATATATATAAGCATATGATTTTTATTTTAACGTTATTGTTTTCACTACCCTTTTAAAATCACTATCTATATTGTTTATTATCATTGTTACTAGTATATTATTGCTATTATTGTTTTACTCATCCTCATTATTCATCTCCTTTTCTTTGATAAATTCTTCACAATATAATAGTTTTTTTAAGAACTTGTAACAGCAGGCAACACATAATTATATATCTAGTTAGATGTAAATGAATGATTTGTTGAAAAGTATAGGAATTACACTGTATTACACATAATATTGTGAAATAAATTATCTGAAGAACTGATGATAACCGATATAGCAAATTATTCTCATTGTATGCAAATCCCACCCGTACACAGCTCCTGGAGGGTCATAACCACGCGATTCGCGAGACTCGAACGATTCAACTCGAAGGAGTCAGAATAACGAGCCTCTCCTTCGTACGAGATTTCCCTGCTCGCTGAACCTGACGGTCTACAGGCGCCCGTCAGGGAGCTGCATGTAGTAGGACCCTTAGGTATCGTCGCCGGCACGGACATCTTGGTGGCCTAAGTTGTTGCCGGAGTCGCTGTGCTGGACCGCCCAGTCGAAGTTGCAGTGGGCGGGGCCAAAATCTTCGGAGAATTGGACGAAATTTATAAAATCGAGAGTCTTGATACCACTATCCACTCAGAACAGGTTAAATATGAATATCATTTGCATTACGTCACAGGGAATATACATATTTTTTAAATATGAATATGGAATTCGGAATTTGAAAACTAGTTGATAGACTTGTCCAATACAGGAGTGATAATTTAACTTTGTAAGGTCTGAAATTGCTCCCTGCTTCACTTGCATTTACATCGTGTGTATGATTTATTTTTAAATATTGAATCCAAAACGCTATTTGGCCTATCAACATTTTTTTTCTATTAATGATTAGCCATTAATACAAGACAATTGCTAATGTAAATTCAGTACAAACTTTTAATGCAAAGATGAAGGATTGTCTTTACCCCTATTGAACACGGGGGTGGAGGTGGAGTACGGTCGTATGTCAGCAGCGGCGACAGCCACGACATTCATGAGAAGGACCTGAGGAGGAAGTGACCACCTGTTAACATTTTACTAGACAAGCACGCTGTAAAGCACATTCCACTTTGGCTTCTTTCTTATTTCACGAATATTTCTTACTGCAATCAGATCCTATCTCCTGTTAAGTTAGTTTTTAATTGTTGATGCAGCAGTTACTGCTCTAGCTGCAGTAACGAAAACTTTACACAACCTGACTCCACAGTCACCCTTAAGGTTGAGTTCATGTTGGTTTGGATGTTGAATGATATCCAGGGCATGACCATACTTATACCCGAGTGTAGTGACGTGCATCCGCTTGCATTTTGTAGAACTTGTCAAGCACAAAGAAAGGTTATTACTTCATTGGAAAGATTATGATTGTTATACATTCATATTCACTGGTTTTATCATAGTAATAGTGTTAGTACGGAATTGTAATATTTGCTCTGCCGTTATATCATTGTAAATTCGCAAAAAAGGTTTACGTAAACTGCATGGGAATGTTTTGATTGTGTTCATGGAAGTTAAATGTTAATTAATGGTATTATTTCCGTTATATATAAATTCTTATATAAAATGAGTTTTTGTTTACGTTCGTTCTCGTTCGTCTGCAAAGCGCCTGTGAATTATAACTTAAACTATCATCAGTAATCTAAGGAGGTGGTCACTTTGCCACTGACCTTGCTTGCGTGAGTAGTACATTTCACCTCCTCGTGAAATTTCTACTTGCGTATTTTACCATAATCATTTTAATTATTCTTTACTTTGTGTAAACGATACAATAAAGCCATCCATTGTCTGTAGCCTTTTTATGGTACATGTGGCAGCTGGGGTCAAGTAATCACAAAGACAAATGTCAGTGCATCTTATCCTGATCATTATGATTGTCATTTGTGGTTATTAGCATTTATGCTAGTATCATTACCATTATGGAAATTAATACATTGCATTCATATTAAAAGGAGTATAAAATGTGAGCAATTTGTTTGACTTATGTATTTTTCTTACAATTAGTACCTAATCAAGTTCACTTTCTGCTGCAAATCTTTCTACGGCCATTTTAGCATGGATTCATCAAGAGTAGGAGACACCAAAGTGAGCTTCTTCAGGGTCTCCAGCACCATCTTTGATAGCCTCTTGCATTTCGTTCAAGACACTTCATGCATTTTTTATGGGGATCACGTGAGGTGAGGTACCTGGCCACAGGTGAGGTACCTGGAAAGGGTCGTTATCGCACATAAAATAATCCTGTTCATGAATTCTCAAAAGTATTGGCAAATATTTTAATGCGTTGATATCTCGCCTGTCCTTATTCCCGGTGAAAGAAACCCAAACCATGGTGCACTGAAGATAGCAGCACAATGCGGAGTTGGGGCGACTCACGAACTTTAAAGCTCCCCTCACCAGCCTGAAAGTGCTTTCATCAGTCGCCACTTTCTTCCATTCGCATATCTAGTGTCCGTACTTATTTTTCTCTCTCACTCGCAGCTTTAGTGAATAGAGGTTTCACAATTACGCGTCGAGTCGGTAAACAGATCTTTCGGAAGGCAGTGCTGGATAGTTTTTATTAACACGTCCTTAATGAGTTCTGAATGTTTGTTCTTATGTGTGGATGTTAAAATAGGTTCAGACATCACCTTAGGCTTGAGCATCGAGTCTGTCCTCGACAAAGTCTTCCTTGGTACTCCAGAATTATGCTTTCTGTAATGATACCTTGTAAGTCTGTAAGTCTTCTCGGAAATATATATATATATAGATTATACATAACACCCACATAACTATATATTCTCTGGATGTTGCCATTTATTATTATGAGGAATTATATCCTTTAGTAAAGTACATCAGTATGATTCGTATGATTTATTAGTAGAAAATATATTTCATATAATGAAAAATAAGTTAGAGTAGCGGTAGCCGAAGTAGCATCTGGGTTTTCTTTTCTGTGCCTTCAACCATACACGGGTCTTGGAGGGGCGTAGCCACGAGATTCACGAGACTCGAACGATTCAAACGACTCGAACGACTCGAAGGAGTCAGGATAACGAGCCTCTCCTTCGTACGAGATTTCGGGCACGAATCCGGAGTCTCCTTGAACGCTAAACCTAACGGTCTGCAGGCGACCGTCGGGAAGCTGCACGAAGTACGATCCTTGGGTGTCGCCGCCGTCGCGGGCCTCCTGGTGGCCGAAGTTGTTGCCGGAGTCGCTGTGCTGGACCGCCCAGTCGAAGTTGTAGTGGGCGGGGCCGAATTCCTCAGAGGAAAACTGAAAAATGATATATACGTTTATCTCTCTTCGTGCTGCCTTTCTGTTGCAGGAAAATGTACTTTTTTTTCTTTTTAAATCTGAAAATGGAATATGAAACATTATCACTGTAATTGAGGGACTCCGCTTTGCCTTCAGTGTAACTTGTATTCATTTAGGATTTTTAAAGACTGGGTGCAAAAAGCTATTTGGCCTGTCTACAATTTCCATTTGTAATGAAAATAATAAGATAAGATACTCTAACTTCAGGATGAACTCAAAATACAAAGAGGAAAGACTCCCTTCCCCCCTGATACTGACCTCAGGAGCGGAGTAGGAGTAAGGTCGCCTGTCGGCGGCGGCGACAGCCACGAGAGTCGCGAGAAGAAGGACCTGAGGAGAAATGGATACTTATTACTGGAGAAGAGGAACTGTAAACCATTTTCCGCGTATTCTTATTTTACAAAAAGTATATTTTTATTCGAATCAAATATCTATTATTAAGAAAAGTTATTGCGTTTTTGCCGTTGCTGCATGTAATTATTTCAAATGCAGTAACGAAAACTTTATACAAGCAGATTCCACAGAACCCTCAAGGTGGCAGTTACCTTCGAGTTCATGTTGGTGTGGACGCTGAGTAACTTGTGTCAGAGATCCAGCGAATAAACGTACTTATACCCGCTTGTGCAATGACGTCATGCACCTGCCTGTGTGTTACAGAACTTGTCATGCGCATGAAAGTCTCTTACATCACAAGAAAGATTATCTTGTTTTGAATTTGTTTATTTCAACTCTTTCTCGTGTTATTGTCATTGCTGTTGTAGGAATCATGGTAAATAGCTGCAATAATTACATTAATGTCATTTTCTTGCAAAATTTATTACTTTTACTATCATTATTCACAGTATTGGTTTTGTTGTTTTTTTAGACTAACTTTTTGTTCATGTATCCATACTTATAAGTTACTCTCATCGTTTTGGACCTCGATTGCTTCATTGCTTATCCTATAGCATCATCTTTATCAGGATACTTTTCACCAATGGTATTATTATCAGTTTTATTAATAGTGTTATCATTAGAAGCATTCTCAACATTAAGAATATAGTTATTATCATGAATTTTATTATTATCATTATCATTCGATAATTATGATCACCTTTATTTTTTCTTATTATCACTATCGTTATCATTATAATTGTTGTTCATCATCATCGTCATTATCATAATCTTTATCAATATCAGTATCATTATCGGTATCATCATCACCAATATTATTATCATGATTATACCATCATTATTATAACAATTGTAATAGGTAATAATTATCATTATAACTATAATATCATTACTATCATTCTAATCATATTTTTTCATTGCTATTTTTAATTATTATTATTGTTATTATTGTTGTTAATGTTATTATCAATTGATCATAATTATCGTTATTGTTACTATTATCTTTATTACCTTTATCATTATTATTATCATTATCATTATTATTATCATTATCATTATTATTATCATTATCATAATTATTATTACAATTATTATCATCAGTATAATCATTATTACATTATCAGTATCATTATCGGTATCATCATCACCAATATTATTATCATGATTATACCATCATTATTATAACAATTGTAATAGGTAATAATTATCATTATAACTATAATATCATTACTATCATTCTAATCATATTTTTTCATTGCTATTTTTAATTATTATTATTGTTATTATTGTTGTTAATGTTATTATCAATTGATCATAATGATCGTTATTGTTACTATTATCTTTATTACCTTTATCATTATTATTATCATTATCATTATTATTATCATTATCATTCGATAATTATGATCACCTTTATTTTTTCTTATTATCACTATCGTTATCATTATAATTGTTGTTCATCATCATCGTCATTATCATAATCTTTATCAATATCAGTATCATTATCGGTATCATCATCACCAATATTATTATCATGATTATACCATCATTATTATAACAATTGTAATAGGTAATAATTATCATTATAACTATAATATCATTACTATCATTCTAATCATATTTTTTCATTGCTATTTTTAATTATTATTATTGTTATTATTGTTGTTAATGTTATTATCAATTGATCATAATGATCGTTATTGTTACTATTATCTTTATTACCTTTATAATAACAGGTATAACAACAATAAGAACGATATTACTAATAATAATCATAATATAAGAATAACAATAATAACCGCAGTAATAGTTATAATTATGATTATATTTATAGTAATAGTAAATGATAATAATGGTGATGGCAATAATAATAATAATAATAATGATAATAATAATAGTAGTAATAATAATAGCAATAATGGCTACAATAATAACAAGGATACTAAGATTAATGATTGTGAAGACGATAAGAATGATAACATTGCTGGTGATTATAATGATAATAACTGCAAAATGATAAGAATAAGAATCTCAATGAATATGAAAATAATTTTAAAAGTAATGAAAATTACAATAAAAATAATATCAATAATGTATATGGTAATAGTAGTGATAACACTGCAGATATAATAATAGCAATATCAGAGATGATATTAATAGTGATGATATTAACTTTAATATTGATATTAATATGAATATCAGTAACACTAATAATACAAATGATTGTATCAGTAATAAGAGCAGCCGCAATTACAATACTAAAACTAATAATGATAATGCCAGTAAAGATAATAGTAATAATAACAGATATGTCAGTAATAATATAATAATAATATAAGTTGGATTTTCATTTGTATTAGTTTTTGTATTGTTAGTCGTATTATTGCCGTTCTAATTAGCAATATCCTTATCATAATTGTCTACATTACTATTACTGACGTTGGTATTATAATTATTGTCAATACTATCAGTGTTATTATCATGACCATTATCATCTTACTACCATGACCATTATTATCTTATTATTAGCATAAACTTTACCAATAGTGTTATCATTATCATTAATATCATTAATATTCATATTGTTATATCATTATGATTAATATTCTATTCTGATGATAGCTCTATCAATATTCATTATGCCATTATTATTGTTATTATCATTGATGCTGTTGATGTTGTTGCTAATTATTATTACCATTTTTAGAAGTAATAGTATCAATGAGCAATGAATTTCATCACAACTATCATTGCCCATATTAACATTACCATTATTACTATTATCATAATCATTATGTTTACTATCATTACAATTATCATAATGGGGATAATCGCCATTATCATTATTACTAGCATTAATGTTAGTGGTAGTAGTAGCAGTATTTTTATTACTATCTTCATTTTAGTATTATTGATGTCATTACACTCCATTTGCCTAAATGCATTTTCAGTGTAATGAATCCTAATAGGCAAAATTACAGATCTGTTAGCTTTATATGCTTAATTTATTCAAAATCAAAGGTAACATAGTATATTGCACATGTAAAATAAATTATTTGAGGAAATGATGGTGATCGATCTAGCAAATGGTTCTCAATCCTTTGCAAATTCTAACCATACACGGGTCTTGGAGGGGCGTAGCCACGAGATTCACGAGACTCAAACGACTCGAACGACTCAAACGACTCGAAGGAGTCAGGATAACGAGCCTCTCCTTCGTATGAGATTTCGGGCACGAATCCGGAGTCTCCTTGAACGCTAAACCTGACGGTCTGCAGGCGGCCGTCAGGGAGCTGCATGTAATAAGATCCTTGGGTGTCGTCGCCGTCGCGGGCCTCCTGGTGGCCGAAGTTGTTGCCGGAGTCACTGTGCTGGACCGCCCAGTCGAAGTTGTAGTGGGCGGGGCCGAACTCCTCAGAGGAAAACTGAAAAATAAAATATCACTCTTTGCATTGTCTTTCTCTTGCAGGAAATAAGCATTTTTTTATGGATAATATAGAACGTTATCACTATAATCGAAAAACTTTTCAGTATAAGAGTAATAATCTTCGTGAGATCAGGCACTGCTCTCTGCTTAACTTGCATTCATATACAGTGTATAATTTAGTTTTAGACTGGATGCAAAACGATATTTAGCCTATCTATAATTTCCATTTGTAATGGAAACACTAAAATATAGCTGGTACTTTAACTTCAGGATGAAATTTTGATACAGAGAAAAAGGACCCTTTCCCTCAACTGACCTCGGGGGCGGAGTAGGAGTAAGGTCGCCTGTCAGCGGCGGCGACAGCCACGAGTGCCACGAGAAGAAGGACCTGAGGAGGAATGGCTACTTATTGCTGGAGAAGAGGAACTGTAAATCATATTCCACGGAGGATTTCACATTTCACACACAAAACAAGATGATAATAAATTTAAAAAAAAATAATCCGAATCAGATTGATAGATCTATTATTAAAAAATTAATGTTTTATTATCGTTGCTGCATGTTATTGTATTGATTGTAGTAACGAAAACGTTATACAGCCTGACTCTACAGTAACACTCAAAGTAGCAGTTACCTTCGAGTTCATGTTGGTGTGGATGCTGATTTACTTGTGTCAGAGATCCAGCGAATACACGTATTTATACCCGCTTGTGCAATGACGTCATGCACCTGCTTCTTGTATGTTACAGAACTTGTCATGCGCATGAAAGTCTATTACCTCATTGGAAAGTTTTGTTTTATATTTGTTTATTATAATTATTAGTCACGTTATTGTCATTATATTGTAAGAGTCAGGTTAAATAGCTCTAAAGAATATTACTTTTATTGTCAAATTACTGCAAAAGTTATTACTTTTATCATTATTCATAGTGTTGGCTTTGTTTCTATTCAGACTTGATTGTTTTATAACTTTCTATAGATGCCATTCTTATCACTATGGATGTCAGTATTGGGGTTATCTGTTTTATAATAGTGTTATCATTATAATCATTTTCATCATTAAGGATATTGTTATCATGAATTTCATTGTTATTTTCTTTATTAACCAACTATTATCATTGCCATTATTTTTATTTCCATTATCACCATCACATTTATTTTTTTTATAATTGTTGCTGTTCATCGTTATCATTATCTTCATCAATATCAGTATAATCGTTATCACTATCGTTATCGTTATCCTCATTATCATCAGTATAGTGATTATTAATAGCATCATCTTTATAGCGATTGTAATAGTCAATATAACTCACATTTTTATTCTTATTTCTATTTACTTCATGATCATCATTACTGTTATTATTGTTGTTAATGTTATCATTAATATGATTGTAATTATTACTATCACTGCTATTATCATTAATGTAATTATTGTAATTATAGTTATTATTATCATAATTATCATAATCATTATAATTATCATTATCATTATTATTATGTTTATAATCACTGTCATTATCATTATCATTATGTTTATAATCACTGTCATTATCATTATCATTATTGTTATTATCATTACGATTATAAGCATTATTGTTGTTGTTATTATCACCATTACGACTGTTATTTTTATTGTTATAATTTGAATATTTTCATCTTCACTGTTATAATTACTGTCATCATTTTTTGTCGTCTATAGATATTTGATGGTAATGATGATATTAAAGATAAAAATGATAATGCTTTTCATATCACTGTTAATAATGTTAATAACAGTGACAATATAACATTGATAATAATAATGATCATACTGCTACTACTAATAATAATAGCAATAATAATAATAATAATAATTATCATTATTATCATTATTATAATTATCATTACTAAAAATATTTCAGTTACAAAAGGCAATAACAAAGATGCTGAAAATGTTTTTAATAATTCTAGTATTAACACTAACAGTATAACAATAATGAAAATAATACTACAACTAATGATAATCATAATCATAACTATGATGATGATAATACAAGAAAAATTATAATGACAATAATAATTACAATTATAATAATATTCATAGGAAATAAAAATAATAGTGATAATAGAAATAATAACAGTAATAATAATAAAATAGTGACATTAATTATAAAGATGATGATAATAATGATGGCGATTATAAGGATAATGAAAATAATATAAAAAAATATTAACAATAATAATAACAATGATAATAACCTTAACGATGACTGACAATAACACTACTTGCGTCAGTCATTGTTTTAGTAATAACAGTAACGATAGATACAATATTAAAAGTAATAATGATAGTTATAATAATAATAATAAATAAAAATATCAGTAATGATGTTCATGATGATGGTAAAGCTAGTGATAATTTATAGTGAAAAGAATTATAATTATAATAATTTTTGTTATGATAATTATGTTTATTATTATTGTCATTACTATTATTGTTGTCAAAATTATGATAATGATAGCAACTACTATTCCACAGGAAATTAGATCATTATTATTTCATCACGATCATCATTAAGTTGACATTATTAGCATTCACCTTGTCAGTTGTCATTATGATTGACGTTAATATTATTTACATTATTTCCTTATGATTAATATTTTACCTTTATTATCATTAGCATAATCACTTTTGTTATCATCATGTCAATATTTATTATATTGTTGTTATCATTATTACTGATGTTGCTATTATCATCGCCATTATCATTTGTATTAGTATTAATATCAAGTATTTCTATCGTTGTCCATAAAACCACTTATTTTTTTACCATGATTACTATCAATACTATTATCATGATGATGCTGGTGGTAATCTTCATTATCATTATTACTACCATTGTCATTAGTGGTAGTAGTAGCAATACTAATACTATTCTCATCATTTTCTATTAATACTATCATCATACTCCGTTTGTTTAAATGTATTTTCACAATGTAGTGAACAGGTAACATAAATCAGTTAGCTTTATATGCTTGATTTATTCAAAATCAAAGATAACATAGTATATTGCACATGTAAAATAAATAATCTGAGGAAATGGTGGTGACCGATATAGCAAATGGTTTCAATCTAACCATACACGGGTCTTGGAGGGGCATAGCCACGAGATTCACGAGACTCGAACGACTCGAACGACTCGAAGGAGTCAGGATAACGAGCCTCTCCTTCGTATGAGATTTCGGGCACGAATCCGGAGTCTCCTTGCACATTGAACCTAACGGTCTGGAGGCGGCCGTCGGGAAGCTGCACGAAGTACGATCCTTGGGTGTCGTCGCCGTCGCGGGCCTCCTGGTGGCCGAAGTTGTTGCCGGAGTCGCTGTGCTGGACCGCCCAGTCGAAGTTGTAGTGGGCGGGGCCGAATTCCTCAGAGGAGAACTGAAAAAAAAAGCATATTATATCACTATTTGCAATATTTACCTTACTCTTTGCACTGATATTGTAGGCAATTATGCGTATTGTAAATTTGAATGAAACAATGGAAATAGCAAACGAATAAGAATACGACGTTTTGAATTCCATGAATATCTCACTAGTACTACATGAAATTTTTATTTTTGCTTCAACCGCAGTTTAGGCTCTTAAAGCAAAGATGAAAGAATATCCTTCATCCCACTGACCTCGGGAGCGGAGTAGGAGTAGGGTCGCCTGTCAGCGGCCGCGACAGCCACGAGAGTCACGAGAAGAAGGACCTGAGGAGGAAGTGGCCACATGTTAATGCACAAGAGGTTCATTGTAGATCATTTCCCAAAATAAGTTATATTTTATGATGAATGTATCCATACTTGAATTGAGGCGTTACTATTCTCATTACCATTATGCTACATTATTATATTATGTTTCGACTGAGCATCCGTTCCATGGCATCGAAGTATCAGTCAGCTAATAATTACCTTTGAGTTCATGTTGGTGTGGACGCTGTACAACTTGTGTTAGATATCCAGTGAATGACCGTACTTATACCCACGTGCAGTTGACGTCATGCTTCAACTTTTTGCACGCTGTGGGACTTGCCATGCACACGGGCAGACCGCCCTTGCTTGTTCACGGTTGCCCCTCCCTGGAGTTGCAACACCCTTGTCGCGGTTATCCTACGGTCATGTTGCAGCAACTTTATGATCTGGAATCCGGTCGGCAGATCGTGAACTCTTGCGTCTTCCGATGAAAGTATCGCTGCGCTAAACGGAAAAGCGACTCTAAGATGTAAATACTGCAGCACGAGACAGTATTGGGATTTTATGCTGAGACATAGGATATCTTCACAGAGGAATAATAAACATGTGTTTTGAAGATATGGATTGTAAAACATAAATAGATAAAATTTAGTATCTGCACACAGGAACAATAAGCTTTTTTTTAGGTATGATTTGCAAACTATAAATGGATAAATTGAATATTTTCAAAGAGGAATAAAGTTTTTGAAGCTACGAATTGTAAAACAAATGGATAAAAGCAGGACGCTTGAGTTTAATGTATAAACACAAAGACAATGAACTGCGTAGCACGGAAGTTAAAGATGCAAAATGTTGCACTTTCTAGTGTGTATATATATATGTATGTATATATGTATATGTGTGTGTGTGTACACACACATATAGTATGCATGAATGTGTATAAATGTACTTTACACACACACATATATATGTATGTATACACATTTATCTGTCTACTTTACATTCATAAACACGTATATGTGAGCCTAATATATACAATAAATGCTTGCGCAGTTCATGTATTTTCAAATACCCTTACCCCTCCGTCTGCATTCAACCCTGAATATTCTCCATCTCTCGCCGGCCGCTTCTCCTGCGAGTCCGTAATTACAAGGCATCAAGGAGTCCTATCGGCTATCTTATCGGCCGTCTTAACTGACTCCCCGATTCTTTACTGCCAAGCATATCAGAGTGAAGAAGAGACGACGTGTTTGTTTGTTCTGACTCATAATGACCGGTTGAGGGAACCTGTTTGCAGTTCGGTGCCCCTGCGAGCTGACTCTTCCTTTTGGTAATTTTGGCCTTAGATTTGTGTCTCTTCATTTCTCCCTCTCCATCATTGCTTGTCTGTCTGACTTTCTCGCTGTCGCTCTCTTTCTTTCTCTCTCTCTCTCTCTCTCTCTCTCTCTCACTATCTCCCTTTTTCTCCCTCGCTCTCTCTCTCTCTCTCTCCCTCTCTCTCTCCCTCTCTCTCTCTCTCTTTCTCTATCTTTCCTCCTTTCTCTCTCTCTCTCTCTCTCTCTCTCTCTCTCTCTCTCTCTCTCTCTATGTCTCCCTTTTTCTCTATCCCTTTCTCTCTCTCTCACACTATGTCTCCCTTTTTCTCCTTCCCTTACTCTCTCTCTCTCTCTCTCTCTCTCTCTCTCTCTCTCTCTCCCTCTCTCCCTCTCTCCCTCTCTCCCTCTCTCCCTCTCTCCCTCTCTCCCTCTCTTCCCCTTTTTTCCCTTCTCTCTCCTCCCCTCTCTTTCGCTCTCAGTTAATCGTCACATACTTGTTTTTATTTAGCAAACCTAGTAACCTACAGCCTCTGCCTCTAAAGCTGAACAAAAATAAACATTAACAAGCTGAAGGAAATGAAAATGAATACGTCATTTTTTTTTTTTTTTTTTTTTTTAATGAACTTAAATCCTTGTTTGTTCAACGCCAACCAACGTACTCTGAGTGATGACCGCAAAATGCTAGACGTAACTTCTGATATTTCAAAAGATTGTTGTTGGAAGAGGTTGTACGTGTGTATGTTTTGTTTTTTTTCTTTACTTCAGCTTCTTGTCCTCGCCCCCCCCCCACCCCCACCCCCTTGATATCACAGTTGCCCAAGAAGTGTGTAGTGACAAGAGCGACCTTACTATTTTGATTTCTTTGACCTTCCTCAAGACAGGCAACGCGCCTCTTCAGCAAAGTCGATATCCTCCACTTTTTCTTTCATAAATTTCGGACCACATTCAAGGACAGGGGGAAAAGATGTTTGTTTGTAAATATGAACATTGCGGAAGTGGGGTAGATGGAAGTACGATAGTTTTTCATCAATAGTTTTTTTTTGTCTTTTTTTACTCTTAATTTTTTTCATGTATATATAGATAGGGAATACTACATCACCTTTAAAGGGAACCCCGCTATTATGACACATCCACTATGTAATAAACCAAATAAGGATTACGAGGACTGTAGGATTGTAACTGGAAGAAAAATAAAAAGTACCGTAGCAACAGTTAAGAGGTTACGAGTTAAATGTCAGTGCCTTTTATCTCGCTAAGATTAGTAGGGCGTTTAACTTTTAAAATCAACCTCGCGGCCAAACTAAAACGGGAAATGAATATACACAGTCTCAGTCTCTTTATCTATCTATGCTACATACACACGCGCGCGTGAGCGCGCGGGTCACCTAACAAACTAAGATATAAGTAGAGGGAAAGAAAGAGTGAGATAGGAGCGAGACAGAAAGAGATGTGCAAAGAAGAGAGAGAGAGTAAAGAGAGAAGAGTGAAATTTCATGGCACGGTATATAAGTAAAGAAAGAAAGAAAAACATATATGGAAGGAAATTTGTTTCAGTCGATCTAACAAGCCATTAAAGCGGTGATTCCAACTTCGATCCAAACGTTGAAGAGAAGTGGTATTCATTATACATTTGTAAGCATGAGACTAATAAGGTGAATGATGGGGCAGAATCCCGAAGGGCGTGCCGTGACCGTCCTGGTTTTAAACATTGTAATTAAGTTAAACGAGCTCGTTGCCTGCAAGCGCATAGTTATTCCATCGGCCTCGGCAACAAAATCGAATTGTCTGCATTGTCTTTCTCCTCTGAGAGTATTTCCTTCAAGGAGGGAGAAAGAGGTGTGCCCATATTGCAGATTCTTGCAAATGTTCCCCTTTGTTCAAAAGGATCACATGCAGTTACAGCGTCCTGATGGAGGTGATTGAAAACGAGGGGTGCAAGAGCATGATTTTGGAAAGAAAATTTGTATGTGATACGTTTCGATTTTATCTTCATCGGAGAGTAATCGAAGCGCGCCAGATACTTCTACTTCACTTAGAATATGTTCATTCTCTTTCCATACCTTCTTCGACACTTTACAGCGAATGTAAATCAACATGATTTTGCTCACAATAACTGTGGAATATATTCATTCATCCCCTCTTCCACATTCTTCACAATAAACGCTATTCATCATGATTCTGCTCACAACAACGGGGGATATTCTCAATCTCAGTCATACTTTCTTCCACGTCTTTCACAACGGACGTTATTCGACAAGCTTTTCTTCACATTAACAGGAGCGGGTATGAGGTATCTAATTACCCTTCTCGGAGTTTCCCCTT